ATTACCTGCAGTGTTCCCTCAGTGAGGACTGAACTAGGCAAAAGGGCCTTCTCCTACTCCGCTCCTGTTTCCTGGAACATCTTACAAAAAGATTTGAAGCTCTCAACCTTGACCTCTCTAAGTGGCTTTAAGAATCTGTTGGACGGCAGAGACCAATGCAGACATGTTCCTGTTTTTAGTTTTCTACATTCGCCTTAGAATCTAGCTGTTTTTTTGTTTTTTTTTGTTACCTTTTTCTTTTAGCCATCCTATTTGTAAAAAAAAAAAACGCAGTATGACTTTTTATAATTGTTTATTGTTGTCGCTGTTGTCCATTGTTGTCATCATTCTTTGTTGAAATCAGGTCTCTCTTGTAAATGAGTCCTCGAGGCTCAATGGGATTAACCTGTCTAAATAAAGGTTGAATTGAATTAATTTTATGAACAGCCATTACACATGTTTGAGATGCAAACAGAAGGGAATAAAGGTTCTTTTTAATGAAAACCATGCGACCCAATCTTCTCGTGTTACAAACAAAATAAAATGCCACCCAAAAGGGGTGGGGGATGAAGGATACAGAATAGGCTAATCAGCCGCAGTGAAGCAGTGCTGGTCTTTCACCAGTGGCCACAGCATTGTGAGGTGTTTGATCACAGTCCTGACATAGCTCTCTTGTCTCCATCAGTCATGTCGTCCTCCTGGTGCTTACACTGAAACGCAGTGAAATTAGAGATGTCACTGACGAGTGTAAACCATGAGCTCAACGTGATGATTACCTTTGTCTAAACTCCTAGTGAATCTTTGGCGTTTATTTTCATCATCTTCATCAGCATTGTTTTAGTCGGCTACACGTGGCTAATTAATGGAAATGCTTTTGGCCTGTTTGAAACTAAAAAGCCAAACTGCAGCCAGTCAGTGGTTTTCCTCTGAAACCACACAGCTGTAAAGACATCCACTTAGATTTTTATTCTTCTTTGGGAACAGAGACGTTTGTCCTCTGGAAGGAAACACACTTCCTACAGAAGAGCCGTACTAACTTCACAAATGTTTATTAAATGACACATTAGACTTTTTAGAGCTACATCAAGCAACTGTGTTGTTTGGGATCAAATATTTATGAATTTGATTCTTGGATTCCGTTGTAATACATTTTCACCCACAGCCTAAAACTGAAGATGGACAGTAATGGACAGGTGTTTGTTGTCCCCCGTCACGGATCAAAGGGGGGGGGGGGGGGGGATTAGAAATAACCTCCATCCTGTCTGTCCTGTGAGCATGATAGCTTGAAAAACAAGTGATGTGCCAACATCAAGATGGCCACCACATGTATGCATGTACATACATTTTAGGAAACTATACTTTCTAGTTTTTATATTGCTGTAAAGTATAGTTTCTTCAAATGATTGGTGTGACCCCCTGACCCCACCACTGCACCTGGTGGTGGATAAAAAGTCTCCCTCCGCTCTCCAGGATCCGTCACTGTGCACCCTCAGACAATTAAAAAACAAAAAACTACCTTTGTTTTTAGACAAAGTTGAAGGTTTACTTGCATTCAATGTTCAATTCCAGTCCATAAAAACACTCATCTCAAAAACTACAAACATTCACTGTTCAAATCCCACAGCCACCATAGACCTGGGCGTACTGCTTGTTTTGTTTTTCTCAGCGCCTGTACATTTAACTACAGGAGACAATCAGAAACATCTTTGTTAAGGAGCATGCAGTCTCAAACATGGACACTAAGATCCATACATTAAACACTTTGCTCTTTTAAACTTTTAGGATATAGTTAGATATTAGCATTTTCTTATAGACTGTTTTCTACGTTATATTTCTGGCATATAGAGAAGAAGTTTTGTTTTTCATTACCTTTTTCTTTGGCTTTCTTTAATGGATTGTAATTGAGGTTTTGTGGTTTATGTAGATTATTGTCTTGCAGGTAGACAATTCAGTTCAATATAACTGTACTTTCTATAACGTTTCATGAAATGCTCTTGTCTAGGGGTGTAACAATACATCAATTTACATCGATATATCGATTAAATGATTAATGATTCAATTATATCGTGGCAAAACTAAAACATCGATTAATATCATCATCTTTAAAATACGCTTTTATTTTGAAATTCCCACGGCACGTCTGTGTCACCATTTCCGTGCGCGGCTGTGCTCTGCGGCCGCCTCAGCAACATGGCAGACGAGGCAGAAAACACAGATAATGAAATTCCCTCTCTGCTGGATTTAAATCAACACTTTGGATACATTTTGATTCTGACAGAAGGACGGCCCAACACACAGAACTCATGTCGTGTGCAACAGGTGCCAGTGAGAGTTCAAATACTCAGGAAACAACAAATTTGTTTGTTCACCTGAAGAAGAAACACGGCATTGATAGCC